GCAGAAGCCTGATAATCATCCATTCATTCAAATCAGGTGTGTTGGAGCAGAGAAACAAGTAAAACATGCAGGGCTGCGGCCCTCGAAGACCAGGATTGCCCACCCCTGTTCTAAATCATGGATTTGATCCTTTTTCTCATCAGATTTAGCAGTTTCTAGATTTTTGACTGATTCGTTATCTCTGCCTCATCAAGCGATGATGTTTTTGCGCCTGTAATTTTCACGTTTTATTTCCCAGGTGTTGTTAGATCTCTCACAGATCGATATAATCCGAGGCATCACAGAATGGTATGAGCTCAGATTTCTCACTTCCTGCATGAGTGCAGATACTGGTTTCATGAAACTTTTTCAGAAATGTGTTGACTGACATAATAATTGTAATTAATTAATAATTACAGGAAGTCAGAATGGCGTTTATAGAAAAAGATTAAATTTGGTAAATATGAAGGAGCAGTGAGTAAAATCCTAATCACATTTTTTGTCTCTTATTTTAAAGGTTTGAGCTCACGCTGCCTGGACTGAAACGCTCCGGATCAAAGATGTGAGACTCCAGTTTGAAGCAGCAACATCAAACTTTGAGTTTCAAACTCGTTAGTGATCCTGATCGTTAAAGACCTGAGGTGGAACACCTCGGAGCGGCTCGTTGGACCTTCAGCTCACCACAGACACCATGTGGTGATTTAATAATAAGAATTTCTTTTTTTTTTCATTAGAAGTGCCTTTTCTACCAAAACATATTCAAGCCACACCTACCGGCATATTTGAGATATGTTTTGAGTTCACCAGAGCCAAAGATGCTAGTTGTATTTGCATTAAAAAAAGGTTAAGGTAAAATAAGCTTTTTAAGTTTAATTTAAATACAAAATGTGTTAAGTCAAAGCACATTAAGGTAAATGTTTTAAGGACATATCTAAAGAGGACTTTCTGGGTTTCATGAATCAAAAATATTTTATTCACTCTTTATAGATTTTTAATGTCTTTTTAAGTTTTCTTTTTGTTTTACAACGTACTTTAAAATGTGTTTTATATTAAAATGTAAAAATAAAAAGTCTACCTTTTGACAGTTTCAGCTACACTGCTGTGCTTATTGTTGAAGGATTAAGTTTAAAAGGATTAAGTTACAAACAAAATATGTTTCCAGGTTTGTTTTATCTGAAGGGATACTTAGTAAATTTATTTTACTATTGATATTTACTGTCAGCGATTTTTGTTGACACTATTATTGGACCACAGTGCTGAACATTTTCCCAAATGTTATAAAACTGCCGTTTAAAAATGTATATGTATATACAGTATGTGTTATTAGTATATACAGTGCAGTAACTTCAACTGTTTCATGTTCAGTTGCATGTATAGTTTTACTCTTTTAATGCAGTAAATTGGAAAATATTTAAAGCAAACAAAAACACTTGCCAGCAGGCGGGCCAGACAGAAGTCAACCGTGGGCCACATTCGGCCTGCAGGCCACCAGTTGCCCGTTCCTGGTGTAAATGAGCTTTTCTGTAAAACTGTATGCTTCATGAAAGCTCCAGAAGAAAACTATCAAAAACAGCTTACCTTGGTAGGCCCCCTGGCTTATCAATAGGGGGTCTGGGAGGTAAACTTACTGCCCCCCTCCCACCCTGACCAGTTAACCTGATTCAATCCTCCAGGCTGAGTATCCGAACCAGATATAAACACCTGGAAATAAAAGCTGAAATGTTGCTTTTCTGATTTCTATGATCCATCATGAATAAAACGTTTTATAAAACTCATAACTCATTCATTTTTTTTTTACATTTCACACGTCTCAACTTTGATATGTGTAATTTATCTTTCTACAGTATAAAGTGAATGCATGTGTATGTATGTATGCGTTAAACATGTCAACACAAATATGAATTAATAAAACAATATATATAAGCAAAGCTAACACACAACAGGTACTGATTTGTACTGCTTTTAATGTGGTTTTATCTGTCTGGAATAGTAAAATACATACAATAAAGCAAACAAAGCTTTGTACAGGCATACAGTAAGGAGCTTGTTCCACATTCTACAGTCCACACTGATCTGACAGAAGCTTCTGGAGTTCCCATCTCAGCAAACACTCAGCTGGAAGTCTTTTCCCCCCGATTAACACTACGGAAGCTAAATTTATTTTATTTTGTCACATAAACCAAATCAAGAAGCTCTGACCAAGACTTGGGGTTGCTACAGATTAGTCAGCAGCATTAAGGTTTGAAGTGAACATGCAAGCGCCAGATAATAATAAATAAACATTTTAATAAGATATAAAAACCCTGTAAGTGCTGTATTTTAGTTCTTAAGTCAAATTAGAGATTCAAAGTTTTAAAACCTGTTTAAAGATTATATGCTGCTAACTAATTTTTAAAAAATGGCCACAATGGTTTATTTAAGCCCTGTGTTTTATGCAAATAAAACATTTAGTTCATGGTTTACCATCAGTCACAGCTAAAACACTGCTCAGAATTAAAGTGGTTCCTTTGTCCACCACARGAGGGCGCCAGCGTCTCGAATTGAAAACCTGGTTCCCCATCGCTGGCGTCACACCCAAGAGCTGGTCGAATAATAACGATAATTAAAAAAATAAGTATTCATAGATGTATTGCCTTTGATTTAATTTAAAAACATCCGGAGATTAAAAAATAAACAGGGACACCAGAAGTAAACAATTTTGAAACAAG